ATGGGATGGGAGGAGGAAGGCTAAGGCCCATTTGGAATTAAATCTGGCAAGGGATGTCAAGGACAACAAGAAGGGGTTCTTCAAATACATCAAGAGCAAAAGGAAGACTAGGGAAAATGTGGGCCCACTGCTGAATGGGGCGGGTGGCCTGGTGATGAAGGATACAGAGGTTGAAAGAGAAGCTAGAATTATTTATGCTGAAGAAATGACTTCCAGCTTTTTAAGTTTCTTGGCACCAGTGGCTTGTTTCATGTCTATGTTGCCATCATTAAATATTTTTATAAGCCTTCAGAACTTGGGAAGCATAAGCCATGCAGATAAAATCAAAATAGAATTGAAAGACTATGCATCTGGTTTATGTTCTGTAGTATTAAATATTCACATCCGAGCAAAAAGCTCAAATGACCAAAATAAACCACTGTAATTGCAAAAGTTAGCTCCATTTTATCTTTCAGATTGTAGATATCTGCAACAGAAATATCAAGATTTATCTGCATGGAATATGAACGGAAATGCCTGCATGTGAAAGCACCAGAAGAAAAAACAGAAAGCAAGAGTTAAAAACAATGGCATATAGCAATAGATAACCAAATACTTGATGAACAGCAATCAAACCTGTAAACACAGAGGAATGTGTCATCATCAGGAGGCAGGTCTTCTCATCTAGATGTATATAAGGTGGTGGAAACAAGGCTACATCACATGTGCTGTTTCAACTCCTGTTATCCTAACAGGAAGTCAAATTACAGCCATAAAGATACCCCTAAAAAAGAAATAAAGACAGTAGGCAGCAAGGTTCAGAGGCGAAAGATCACCCCATGGTAACTGTTGACTGCTAACAGGCATCTAAAACCTGTCTAAAATCAGATTTCTGTCACCAGTTAAGAATAGCCCCAGAGATGCAGTGAGGACTCGGGAGCTGAAGCTGCTCCTGGCCTGACCACATCGGCTGCCTCTGAGTACATGTCCATGAGTGAGTGAAAACTATGAGACAATAAGTGTGACTGAAATCTGTTTTGTTCAAAGTAAGTATCTCCTTCTTCTACCATAAAGTCACACATAGAGGTTTTTTACATTAATTCTCTGCAAGATTTCTGGTAGTAGGTGATCCATTCTATTTAAAATGAAAGAAGTGAGAGCCTCCTTGTACTAAGGACTGATGATTAGGGGACTGGAGCATCTCTCCTCTGAAGAGAGGCTGCGAGAGCTGGGCCTGTTCAGCCTGGAGAATAGAAGACTTGAGAGGGGATCTCATAAACGTGTATAAGTATCTGAAGGGGGAGTGTCAAGAGGATGGGGCCAGACTCTTCTCCATGGTGCCCAGCGACAGGACAAGAGGCAACGGGCAGAAACTGAACCACAGGAGGTTCCACCTAAACCTGAGAAAAAACTTCTTGACTGTGAGGGTGACAGAGCATTGGAACAGGTTGCCCGGAGAGGTGGTGGAGTCTCCTTTGCTGGAGATATTCAAAACCCGTCTGGATGTGATCCTGGGCAATATGCTCTAGGTGACCCTGCTTGAGCAGGGAGGTTGGACTAGATGCTCTCCAGAGGTCCCTTCCAACCTAAACCATTCTGTGTTTCTGTGAAGAATGGGGGTGCTCTTAGAGTCTGGAAGAGAGCGAAGTATGATCAGAGGTCTAGAAAACATCGACTGAAAGAAAAGATTAAGCTTTTGGTATTTAATCTAGAGTATGGTTTCGCAGCTGGCCAACATGCAATGAAGCATGGAGTCATGCCAACAAGTTCTTTGTTGGCTTTTTTTTGTTTAGGCTTTATTGAAATGCTGTTAGGAAACATGGAGTGGGAGAAGATAAGAAAAAAAAAATGAAGGTTGCTCAGAGGAAGAGAGAGGAGGCACTGACATGGCCGAACAAGTAGGAAAATAGCTGCAGATGAGCTTGCTCCAGAGAAAACTTAGAGGGATGCATGATGGGCATCCTAAAATTGGAAAAGCTACTGCAAATTGGAAGAAAAAAGTTAATTCTCTAGCTAGTGTTCTTATTCCCGTCCCACAGCAAAGACTGTAAATATACTCTGAGGTCTATTCTAGCTTACTAAATCAGGGCAAAGCCACAGGCTTAAGCACTGGCCCATGATCACCCGTAATGTTTAACTGTTAAAATGTTCCCCAAAATAACTCTAGCACAGACCAGAGACCACTATGCCAGACAGTGCCTGAACATGTAGATAGCATGGGGTAGGGCTGTTTCCAGTGTACAATATTACTGAGAACATTCTGTTCTGAGAGCAAGGAATTTAACTGTATGGACATGAACCATGTTATGCGACTTGCATTAGGTGGCAGAGAACAAACCCTGGCCCACTTTTCCTGTACAGGTGTAGCCTGAGGGTCAAGCTTTCTGTGATTCAATGCCATTGTAGTATGGACTTTCCCTTGTAGCAGTCACTTTTGTATTTTATGAGTGCTGTAATGGAGTTGTCCAAGGCAACATTTAAGAAAACAGTGTGGTTAGCAATTCAGATCCCACATTACAAAGACCTTCTTCTGCTAGTTCTGGAAAGAAATCACATCAAAGTGCATGTTGATTAGACCTGGTGCTCTTTCTACTGTGATGAGATTTTTTTGGTTTTTTAATGTGTCTTTGATTGCATTGGGTGTTTATAGCACCCTGCAAAGTTTTCAGAACTGGATGGCCTTGTGAGCTACCAGAGGCTTCCTTTGGCACTGGAACAAGAAAATCGTCTCTTCACTGATCCTCTATAGCTTATGCATTCATAACTTATATTCTTTTGGGAGGGTCTTTTATCTTTGCATTTTCCTCCTTCAGTATTTCAAGCAAATATTCAGATTAAGGGGAAGGAGGATGAGTTTCTGACATTTATATTAGTAACAGCGAACAGTAGGTGTACAACTTCATGATACATTAATCATTTATATCCATGCCAAAGTTCTTGAGAGCACATTTTGTAGAGCATACAGGAATGATCATAGGTGTAGTCAGCACAGATCTACCGCTCTAAGAACTATAAAAATTATATAGCCATGGATTGGTCCAGGGAAGGTGTTAATGATAAACAATGCCCTTAAATTTGATTTCTTTGAATCAGGAACTAGTACATTGTGTACTGAGTCATCTATAATTTCAGGAATTAGCAGAAGACTTGGCTTGGTATAATGCAGTAACTCAGGAGGTCCCTTTCTGTTCTGCTTTACCAGCTGCTCTTGGGAATAGTGCAGCTCTTGGTCCTGTTGTTGATCAACCAGGACCTAAGGATATCAAGTGTGTGTGCTGCTGGGATGATTTGAAGCTATGTTTCCCAGCTGAAGACAGCATCACAGTTTATCCAGTTTCTCATGATATCTTTCTGTGTTAGCATTTTCCATCTTGTCCAAGTTTAGCTCCAGGTGGCAAAACTTCATCCAGTTGTTAATTTCAGGCTCTCAGAAAGCTTTGAGATGATTTGTAGGCTAGAAAATTTTGACTGATTCCTGTTTACTGCTGATACAATCATGCTCTGTGTTGTGACCTTGTTTGGGTGCTTAATGTAAATGTTGGTTAGATGCAAATATGGTGTGGTAAATAAGCTAATCATAGCTTCTTAAACAATTAATGATTGGAGCTGGTACAGT